AACTTTATGTAAATAAAAAATATTTAATTATTATTTATATAAATTATTAAATTTTTATTTAAAATTTATGTTTAAAAAATTAAATTAAATCTGTTAAAAATAAACAAAGAAATAATCAATAAGTCCTTTAAAATCTAACTTAATCATATTTTTAATGATAAGTTATTAATACACATTTTTAATATTATATTTTTAATAATAATATTTTTTCAATACAATTATACTTTAATTTAATTTTAATTAATTTAATTATATTTTAATTTAAATTCAATCATATCTTATTATTATATTATAAAAATTATTAAAATTTTTAATAAAACTAAAATAAAAACTCAGCAAACCTTTTAAAACCCGTTGTGCCTCAATCATTACCCCAAGCGGGTTGGGCGGCATTGTTCTGACGAGTAGGCACCAAATCGAACATAAAGCCTCAGTTTAGACTTGAGTTAGGCTTTCCTTTCACTAGACCCACCTTTGATTCAACGGAAAACTCCTCAATTCCTTATTTCTCTATAATTTCATTAAAAAAACTATTTATAAATAAATTTTACATATTATATTTTTATAAAATTTTAATTATTTATTTTTTAAATTAAAATTTATTAATATTTATTAAAAATAATTATTTTTAACTAAAAAATTATAATAAATTTTAATTATTAAAAATAAAAAAATAAATTATTAAAATTTTATATAAATATAATATATAATATATAAAATTTATATATAAATAAATTCTTTATTCTTTATTAAATACAATATTCTGCATGTTCAAAAAAAAATATAATATTCTATATAGAGAAAGTACCTACGCAGGAAGTGAACTGTGACCATGAGACAGGCGATCCTCTACCGACTGGATGTGGATTTCTTCTCCAGTGACCTCTTTCACCATGGTTTTCGACTACGTGCAAATTCTCAAATAAATATTCAAAGCACCTGCTAAAATCTAGGAGTGTTTAAAATTTAGAAGTGTTTGGTGGTGTGGTTTAGTTTTAGATTTTAATGTTTTTTAAATCAATCTAATTTAATTAGTTAATAAAATTTTTAAATCAATCTAATCTATTATTATATGATAATCAAATTAATCTAATTTAAATCGGATTAGTGTAGTTCAGTTGGATTAATCGATTTTTAACACTATTAAATATATGAGATAACATAAAAAATTTTAACATTGAGTAAAAAACATAACTATAAAGTCCATTAGTATCTAAATCACTAAAAACATAATAAAATACACAAATTATAAACAAATTCTTATACTTATTTACAATTGTAAAAATTGAAAAGATTTAGAAATTCTTTTTGACTACATCACTAAAAGTACCAAAGATAATAAAATATGACTCTAAATTTTAAATAATTCTTAAAGGTTAAAACTAATTTTTTTTTTTCCTTAATGCTCCAAATAAATCAATCTCATCTTCCAAACCCTATTAAAAACAAATAAAATTTAACATAAATGTCATTAGGAATGATTAAAAGCATTCATAGTTAAGATTTAAAACTTCTCAACCAAATATCCAAAAGAATAGTAGAATATCAAAATTAGTTCTATTATATAGTTTTAAGACTTTTTAGAATGATACTTCTTAAAGTTTAGTTAGAAGAATCAGAATATTATTCTAAGAACAAATTAAAAGTTTATGGGCCTATAAGTAGAGTTGTAGACTAGTTATAAGGGATAAAGTTGCAGATGAATTGAAAATTTAGAATTAGGGTTAGAGTGCATGATTTAGAAAGGAAAATAAATTAAAGGATATGGGAATATTCTATTTTTATTTTTTAATAAAGTTAATGGAGTTATCATCTTATAAAATAGGAAAAAAAATTAAAAATATTACAAAAAATATATTATAGTATTTAATTATCTTATAATCGAATTTTATTTTGTAATTAAGTGATTTGGGCAGTTTGAAGGTAAAACCACAAATCAAATTAATTACATCGGTTTTAAAATTTTATAATTCAAATCAATTCAACTTTATATTAGTTTGGTTTGGTTTTTTATTGAATTGGATCAGTTTAGGTCAAATCAATCAAATTAAATTGGATGTGAACGCTCCTATTAAAATCTTTAAGAGGCTAGAGGCACCATAGCAAGCGATGTTTGAATGAGATTTCAAATTTATTTCCTACTATAAATGAGTGAGTTGTCTTTGGAAATGCAAGAAAAAATATAGGAAATAATATCATTTTGAAAAATAATTGGGACATCGTTGTTGTGAAGTTGTGTTTACCTTAAAATTCTAGTAGGTTTTTTTCATAGGAACTCATAGTAGGTTAAGGCTTTTCTAAAGTTAACTTCAGTTATTTATATGATTGTTGTTAGAACCATAGAAATAATAGCCCTTTAAGGGATTAGGTGGAATTTGAATTCAGTCACATAATGCTCTGTCGGTCTGTTATACATGTACTATACCCTTTATATTAATGATATTTGGTCTCTTCCATTAAAAAAAAATGTTTCATAAATAATTATATTTGATTATAATTTTAATTATCAAGATCTTAATTTAATTCTTCAAATTAATTAAAAAAAGTAATGATAATTTCGTTTTTTATACATCAATTCAATTCATTCAACAACTTCAATTTCAAATTGATTCAAAAACTTTAATTGTCAAATTCAAATTCAATTATATCTTATTACATTATTAAAACTATTAAAATCTTTAATAAATTTTAAATAAATGCTCAATAGACCTTTTAAAGAAAATTTATTTAGGAAGTTGAAGTTTGATTAAATTAAATTAATATCCTTTCAAACTTCTTGGTGAGCATATTGATACATATAGTTTCTTATTAAACTAATTTTTTTTATATAAAAATACAATGTTTTTGGGCTCGGCCTGGTGGTTGACTCGGTTTGGCCATCGAGTCTGGTTGAATCAGTTGAATTGGTTCACTCGATTGGTTCAACCAATCAACTCAAAAAATAGTTTTTTTAACATATTTATTATATTTTACTATTGTATATTACTTTTATTTTATTCTTAAAAAATAATCATCATAAGATCAACTTGAAAATCATCATTTAGACCACTTAAAATAATAAATTTAATTAAATACATATAATTTTTAAGATTTAAACTAACAAATATTAAAATACATAATATAAGATAAGTTCATCAAGTATGATAATAAGAAAAAACTCAATCTTAAATTAAATTCACTACAAAATAAGTTTTGAATATAAAAAAAAGTCTTAAACCAAATCCACAATAAAGACAAATGTTAAATAGGTGAAACATCATTACTAGTTCATTTATTTTGCCTTAAACAAAGAGCATCTTCATCAAAGAAACCATGTAGTTCTCGGAAGTCATACTCATTATTACTATCTCAAATCCATCACCAATTGTTAAATCACTAAACGCTATAATCTTTATTGCTAATATTTCAATTTTTTAAATTTATTCATAATTAAAAGTTGAATGTAATAATTAGTAATTTTACAAAAAATTAAATAAAAATTTTAATTTAAATCTTTTAACATCAAACAATTTCTATAAAAAAAAAGGAAAGAACAATATCATTAAATTAAATTTCATATAATATTTAAATACTTAAAATTTTGAATCTTATCCAATCATTATCATTATTATTTATGATTTTATTAAATAAAAAATTTTAAATATTAAAAATAAAATCTTAATTTAATTTAGTAATATGATTCATAATTTGAGTTTAAAGGTATTTAGTATTTCCTTTAATTTTGTTATCTTATTTTTAAAATTAACTAGTTTATAAATTTTATTTTATGAAAATATTTTTCTAACATGTTCTTTTTTATTTAATGTGCCTTTTAATAATTAATTTTTATAAAAGAATAAAGATTAATTTTAATTTATTAAGAATTTGTTTAACCTGCCTCTTGAGAATATAAGTTAAACTTCATTAAATGTAAAATTTTTAATTAATTTTACACAAAATTTTATATCAACTTCTTATATTTTTATTAATTTTGATTATAAATATTATATTATATTTCAATTTTATATTTTATATTTTATTTTAATTAAATCTGATATAAGAATTTATATAAAATTAATTAAAAATACTATATTTAATAAAATTTTACTTATATTCTAAGAGCACATTTTAAAAAAATTTATTTATTAAATATACAATTA